CTTAACAGGCCCATATCAAGCATTGAAATAGAAACAGTAATAAGAGACCTCCCAGCTAATAAAAGTCCAGGACCACATGGTTTTACAGCAGAATTTTACAAGGCTTTCAAAGCAGAGCTCACACCAATACTCCTCCAACTCTTCAATGAAATTGAAAGAGAGAGTTCACTACCGAACACTTTCTATGAAGCCATCATAACCCTCATCCCAAAACCAGGCAGGGACTCATCAAAGAAAGAGAACTATAGACCCATTTCTTTGACGAACATTGATGCAAAACTTCTCAACAAAATTTTGGCCAATTGACTTCAACAATTCATCCAAAAAATCATACACCACGCTCAAACAGGATTCATTTCAGGGATGCAAAGCTGGTTCAATATACCCAAATCAATTAATATTATTCATCACATCAACAGGAGCAAGAATAAGAACCACATGGTTATCTCAATAGATGCAGAAAAAGCATTCGACAAGATCCAACACCCCTTCCTGATGAAGGTTTTGGAAAAATTAGGAATCCATGGAACATTCCTCAATACAATAAAGGCTGTATATGACAAACCTACAGCCAGCAATATACTTAATGGTGAAAAGCTAAAGCCATTTCCTCTTATCTCAGGAACAAGACAAGGATATCCACTCTCTCCACTTCTCTTCAATCTAGTATTAGAATGCCTAGCTACAGCAATAAGACAAGATGCAGACATAAAAGGGATCCAAATAGGGAAAGAAGAAATAAAACTCTCCCTTTTTGCAGATGACATGATCTTGTATTTAAAGAATCCCATAGACTCCACTCTCAAATTACTCAAGCTGATTCAAAACTTTGGCAAAGTAGCAGGTTATAAAATTAACCCCCAAAAATCAATGGCTTTTCTGTATGCCAACAATGAGAAAAGTGTGGCTGAAATTAGGAAAGCAACTCCATTTGTAATAGCCCCACAAAAAATAAAATACCTAGGAATTAACTTAACTAAAGAAGTGAAGGACCTCTATGATGAAAACTTTAAAATCTTGAAAAAGGAAATCAACAAAGAACTTAGAAAATGACAAAACCTCCCATGCTCCTAGATTGGAAAGATTAACATCGTGAAAATGGCAATACTTCCCAAGGCTAGCTACAAATTCAACGCGATACCTATCAAAATTCCAACCTCATTCTTCACGGAAATAGAAGAGGCAATCCAAAAATTCATATGGAACAATAAAAGACCCCGAATAGCAAGACCGCTCCTCAACGGAAAGAACACTGCTGGAGGAATATCAATACCAAATTTCAAACTCTACTATAAAGCCATAATAATCAAAACAGCCTGGTGTTGGCGTAAGACCAGACCTCAGGACCAATGGAATAGAATTGAAAACGCAGAAATGAACCTACAGACCTATAGCCATCTAATTTTCGATAAGGGAGCTAAAACAATAGAATGGAAGGAAGACAACCTCTTCAGTAAATGGTGCTGGCAAAATTGGTTAACTACTTGTAGAAAACTAAAGCTAGATCCTTATATATCACCCTGCACCAGAATCAACTCCAAATGGATTAAAGACCTTGAACTCAAAGCAGACACTCTGAAAACATTACAGGATGGAATTGGAGAAACCCTAGGCCTCCTTGGCTCAGGATGAAATTTTCTGAATAGAGACCCGGAAACACAACAAATCAAAGAAAGGTTGGACAAATGGGATTGCATGAAGTTGCAGAGCTTCTGCATGGCAAAGGACATAGCTAGCAAGATCAGTAGAAAGCCCACGGATTGGGACAAGATATTCACTAGCCATACAACAGACAAGGCTCTCATACCTAAAATATACTTGGAACTCAAAAAATTAAATCCCCGAACAACAAATCCTCAAAGAAACAACTGCCCAATAAATAAGTGGGCTAAAGACTTAAAGAGAAACTTCTCTGAAGAAGAAAGAAGGATGGTCAATAGACACATGAATAAATGCTCTACATCCCTAGCCATAAAAGAAATGCAAATCAAAGCAACATTGAGATACCACCTCACTCCAGTTAGAATGGCAAAAATCAAGAACTCTAACAACAACTGATGCTGGAGGGGATGTGGACAGAAGGGAACCTTACTTCATTGTTGGTGGGAATGTAAACTTGTTCAAGCACTTTGGAAAGCAGTATGGAGATTCCTCAAAAGACTTCACATAGAGCTCTCCTATGAGGGCATTTACCCAAATGTTTACAAACAAGACCACCCTAAAGCTACCATCACAACTATGTTTATTGCAGCATTATTTACCATAGCTTAGATATGGAACCAACCCAGATGCCCCTCAGTAGATTAATGGATCAAGAAAATGTGGTATATATACACAATGGAATTCTATCCCTCCATGAGAAAGAATGACATTGCCCCATTTGTTCGAAAATGGAAAAACTTGGAAAAAATTATATTAAGTGAAGTAAGCCAGGCCCAAAGAAACATAGGTCTCATGGTTTTCCTTATTTGCAATATCTAGTACATGCATGAGTCAAGCGGAAAAGGTCACATAATGTGATGTTAGGAAAATGAACCCTTAGATATGTATTTTAATGTTTTTTTCTTTCATGCATTTGTTTCTAATGCATTTATAAGATTATCTCTTTGTTGCTTTGTATGTCCCTCCCCCATAGTATATCCCGTGCTTTCACTATATTTGATGTCAGTATAACTTTTAGAGGAGATGGGGAAAAACAAGTTGTTTAAGGATACAGGTGGACCTGTTGCAACAATGACAAGTACAAGTTGTCATGTCCAAAACGAGCTTTACAACGTTGGTGCAGGAGGTAGGGGGCGAGGGGGGAGGGGGGAGGCGCTGATGATTGGGTGAGGGGTGGGGGTGAGGCTGGGAAGGGATGTGAAGGGTAAACAAAGGAGGAGGCTGCAATGCTTTATAAGAAATGTACGCATTATCCTGCCCATGTAATTTTAACCCCTCTGTACAGTGTGTTCACAAAAAAAAATAAAAAAGAAGAAAAATGTTAAAAGAAAAAAAAAAAGAGTTCCATGAATTCCCTCCCAAAGTACTCAAGCTGATTCAAAACTTTGGCAAAGTAACTGGGTATTAAATTAACCCTCAAAAATCAATGGCTTTTCTGTATTCCAACAAAGAGAAAAGTGTGGCTGAAATGAGGAAAACAACTCCATTCGTAATAGTCCCACAAAAAAATAAAATACCTAGGAATTAACCAAAGAAGTGAAGGACCTCTATGATGAAACTTTAAAAACCTGAAAAAGGAAATCAAAACAGAACTTAGAAAGTGGCAAAAACTCCCATGCTCCTGTATTGGAAGTACTGTATTAAAATCACAGTACTTCCCAAGGCTATCTACAAATTCTATGCGATACCTATCAAAATTCCAACCTCATTCTTCAAGGAAATAGAAGAGGCAATCCAAAAATTCATATGGAACAATGAAAGACCCCGAGTAGCAAAAACGCTCCTCAACGGAAAGAACGCTGCTGGAGGAATATCAATACCAAATTTCAAACTCTACTACAAAGCCATAGTAATCAGAACAGCTTGGTACTGGCAAAAGAACAGACCTCAGGACCAATAGAATGGAATTGAAAACCCAGAAATGAACCTAAAGCCATCTAATCTTCGATAAGGGAGCTACAAAAATAGAATGGAAGGAAGACAGCTTCTTCAGTAAATGGTGCTCTCAAAATTGGTTAACTACTTGTAGAATTCCCAAACTTTATATCCCATGATAGTGACAATTTGCCTTTTGAAGGTTTAAATGTGTTTGTGACTTTAACTCAGTGTCATCATTCCACAATACTGTGAAATATGTGAATTTTTTAAAGTTTGCTTTCTTTTCTTTTTAACTTTTTTTTAATTGTGAAAATACCATACAGAGGGGTTGCAATTATATGGGGAAGATAATGAGTACATTTCTTATGAAGCATTGTTGCCTTCTCCTTTGTTTCCCCCTTCCTATCCCTTCCCATGTAGTCACCTAATCTCAATGTTTTTTTTTTTTTTTAAAGAAAAGTGAAAGAAGGGATGGGTTAGGAGTGATGGGTGACAATGTGGTCAGACACATTGTACTCATATACTGTTTTGTAGAATGGGACCTTAGGATGTTACATATAAACTATTAACTTCTTTTACTTCACTAATTCTGGACGGTCTCTATGTGATGCATGACTGTCCTTATCTCAGTCTGCACTGATTCTTGCTCAGTTTTTGTGATCCTTTTTCATACCCTCCAGGTCTCTCTTTATTTATTTAACAAATATTTAGAGTGGAAATTTTCTTTTTCATAAAATTTCTTTTTATTATTTTGACTTTTTTCAGGTTTTTCTTGGACAGAGTCATAACATTCATTTTCATTGTACAACTATGTCACCATTTATTTATTCATTTTATCAATGGTTGACATTTAGGTTGAACTATAGCCCCCATATTTAAAAATGGTCATGTGTATATATTTTTGTTTGGCCATCTACAGAGTAATAGAATTAGTTCATCAAAGAATATGCATGAATTTAATAAGTACTCTTAGTTTACTTTCCAAGATGGTTACATTCTTCTCCCTGTGCGTATGCTAGAAGTGATGGATTATAAAGACTGTATTCCTGTGGGAATAGCACTTTTGCTATTTGCTTGTTTGTTTCAATGAAGCTAGCAGCCATGCTGTGAATTACTGGATAAAGAGAAATTGGTAACAAGGAACAGAGGAACTGAGGCTATACCTGGCTATACCTGGAGTGAGTTTGAAAGAAGAGTCATCTCTAGTTGAGCCTTGAGATGTCTGCAGTGTTTTGAGATGTTTAGAGACTCAGATAAATACCTAAGGATTTGTGATGTAGAGGAAAACACATATGAGATAAATGAATATGCTGTTGCAAGTGTATGTTGTTTGAAATTATTTTTGCTTTTATTTGAATTAAACCAGAACCTTATATGATCAACAGTTACTTTCTAAGAGGAAGAACTCTTCATAAGGTTTCAAAGTAATGACTTTAGTCTTGTATTTAAAGTGCAATTGCCAGGGGTGAGCATGAATGCAACCCCCACTACTACAAACTATGTTGTTAGTTTCATATATTTGGGGAAATCCTAAAGGGCAGCAACTCTGGAGGGCAATAACTAAACTTTACTGGGAAAACAACATTTGTGATTATGGTATTTCCCTTGCCAAGTAAGTATGGTTTTGTCCAATATATCAAGCCTTTCAAAAAATCATCAATGCTTTTGGTGTTTTAGTTAAGAAATATCTGCCTACCCTCAAAATTTCAAGGTATTTGCTTGTGTACTGTTCTAAAAGGTTTATGGCTTTATCTTTCACATTTGGGTCTTATAATCCATCTGAAATCGATTATGTTTATGCTATGTGCTAGGCATAGAGATGTATTGTTTTCCCACATGAATATCCCATTGATCTAGGAAGATTTATTGAAAAGATTCATTCTTTTTTTTTGCGTTGTTCCACAGTATTATGTTTACTATAAATCAGGTAACTACCAATTCAGTTGAATAGTTCTACATTGACTTGGCTAAGTTAGAAAGTACATCTCCCAGAACTTCTTAAGTTATTTCCCATTCAGGTTGGCTACAACCACATGCGCAGGTTAGGAAGGAGAACACAAGGTAGTGGCTTTGACTTTTTGAAGGTGTTCTCAGGTAGATAATGGATAAAAGTAGAGACACTGGTGGTCTCTCGTTTGCCCTCATGTTTTTCATCTCCATGAATAACTTTTCCTCTTGACTTCTGATAGGCTTACTAACCACAGAGGCCAGGTAATAAGCACTCTGAAATAGTGGGAGATGGCAGTTTTCCACTGGCTTTCTACTACCAGTCTCTCTTAAGCCTGTAGCTTGACGTGCTGGTTTAGCAGGAAGACTGATAATTTTTTCACTTATGCCACCTAGAAACTCCTTCTCTGATTCTCCCAAATCTCTCTGGAACAGAATGCATTGTGATCAGGTAATTTGAGGAGAGCCTTTCCTGAGTGCAGCATGATTCAATGTCAATGTTATGTATAAGCTTCGTTCTAGGCTCTTGTGCTAATACCATTGATTAGGATTTTTTTGTTCCTTCAATATGCTAAATTTAGTCATTATAGTTTTATAATAAGTCCTGACATCTGGCAGTGTATGTCCTTCATCTTTGTTATTCCTGATGTGGCCTTGGATATACAAAATCATTTTTATTTTGAGTCAGATTGTCAATTTCCCCAAATCCTTGCTAGAATTTTTCTTTTATTAGAATTGTACCAGATATATAGATTGAGGATGGATAGATATTTTTACAATATTATCTAAAAAGATGATATCAAGATAATCACTTACAGTATTAATTTTTGTGTGTACTTTGACTAGGTAAATGTGTAATGATTTGCTTGTAATTTTTATTACAGATTGGCATGTAGGTTTGAATATGAGCTAGTTGCCTTACATTTTTTGTCTTCTGAGCAGTGTATAAGTTAAGGAGTAAAGTCAATCTCCCACAAATGAGACTAGCATAACACTGATATTAGAGTCAGTTAAATGTTGATACTCTAGTCATGAAAAAGACCATGATATTCGACAATATGCTGTCTAGAGGCTGATGCCCATCCAGCTCCCTGCCAGCCAAACTGGGGCTTTTTCCAAGAAGGAGAAGAGATTTATTAGGCTTGGAAATGGAAAGTCCTGCTACGAATCCAAGTTTCTATGATTCCTCAGCATCACAAATTTCTATACAACTCTCTGAAAAGGCTCTAGGCTTCACCATTCCCTATGAAATAAATCTTTGGGAAGAAATTGGTGCCAAACTTCCTAGATCTGTAAAAGATGAAGGATTTTCTTTTTTGCTTTTCTTTCCAAAGGAAAGTGTTCTGAGAAGGTGGAGCCAGGTTTCTAACTTAACCAGAAGGATTCCATGATGTTGGATGGATGGATGCTTCAGGAACCCTTAGGTCCTGTCCCCAAACATGTCTCATTTCATGCTCCCTAGAGCCGGTATCTCCTCAATTTTTCCTTCTTTACCCCACTACATTAAGAAGACAGAGAAACATGATACTCAATGGATTCAGATTTAATATCTTTTAGAGGAATGCAATTAATTTTTGATATGCAAGAGATCATATGAAGAATATTAGGAAAGGATACAGAGGAAAAAACTACCTGGAGATTAAAATGGAAGAAAGGAAAAGAGAGAGATGAGAAATTTATCAGAGTATCAAAGAACTTGCAGACTTAATCTTGCTAAAGTATCCCAGAGGGGAAAGGATCCAATGAAGTTTCCTGGCTACAATTCTTTGGTTGTTCAGAAAGTAACAGTCTGTCTGTACCAAACAGATTCTCATATTTCCTGCATCCAATACCTGATGACTATGCCTTCCTCAGTCTCCTGGCTTTTCTACTTATAAGGATTTATTTTTGGCAGTACTGGGTTTTGAACTCAGAGACTGATGCTTGCCAATCATATGCTCTACCATTTGAGCCACATCACCAATTCACTTATAGAAACCTGTATGTGATAATAGTAGGTCCATGTGTATGATCCAGGATCTATTGCTATCTTGAGATCCTTAGATTAATCACATGTGACAATATCCTGGTGCCATGAAAAGTAACATGTTCACGAGTTCCAGGGAATATGTCATCTCAGGAGGACAGGGCATTATTCTGCTTACTACAGTTTCTAAGCAGTGTTTAGATATCTAGGGTTGTAAAAAACTTGACTTTAAAGTCAACTTGATTTTGATTTACATAGAATATTGTATCTTTAAAAGAAGATGGAGAGCAGTTGAGTTGGGAAAGATGAGTGAGAATGTTGAAAGAGGTGACATTAATCAACATGGATTGTTCTTATTAATCAATTTGTTGAATGATAACTTCTGTGTACAACTATTTAAAGATAATAAAATATAATTTAATAAAGAAGATGGAACAGGTTGGAAAAAAGTAAAGCAAAATGTTATTTAAGACTACAGATAAGTAGTTCATCTTTGTATATCAAAAAAGTGTTCTTAAATTTTGGTTGTACTGCTTATCATTCTGATCACATCTGGCATCATCATCATCATCATCATCATCATTATCATCATCATCATTTTTTGTGCCAGTCCTGGGTCTTGAACTCAAGACGTGGGCACTATTCCTGAGCTTTTATGCTCAAGGCTAGTGCTCTACCACTTGAGCTACAGCTGTCTTTATACATTTTTTTTTTACTTTTAACTTCAAGTAAGAGTCTTTCTGGCCCAGCTTGCTTTTAATCACAATCCTCTGATCTCAGCCTCCTGACAAGCTAGGATTACAGACATGAGCCACTGGCTCTCACTGACCCCTGGCATCATTCATTTTATTGTATATTCAATTTTTTAATTGTAAAAATACTGTATAGAGGGGTTACAGTTGCATGAGTAAGGTAATGAGTACATTTCCTATTGAGCATTGTTATGTCCTCCTTTGTTTTTCCCTACCATCCCTTTCCTCCCCAACTCTCCAACTCCTCCCTCCCGGCCATGTTATAAAGTTGTTTTCAACCTAGTGTCTTGTACATCTCATTGTTAAATGGGTCATGCATTTATAATGTACTACGTGATTTTTTTTCTTTTGTATGTTCTTCCCCCACAGTATAGCCCCTGTTTTCATTGTATTTGTTTCCAGTGCCCTGCATCTCATATATACATTTTTATAATTTGGGGAGGGGAAGGGAAATAACAAAATGCTTAAATATGAATATTGATTTTTTTATAATATGGACAATAATATGTCGGTGTAAGGCTTAAAACTAAGATTTAACATTCTGTTGCTACCTTGACATCTGGTTTAAGTGGATGGGCTCCAGATATCCCAACTCCAACTCCCATGGATAAGGCCCCTGGCAAAACAATCTTCCCTGTCAAATGGACCAGTTTCATGCCTATGTCAGTTTTAAATCATGCAACTATTCCAGGGGAATCAGTAGGACCCCACTGACATGTTACTACAAAGATGCCTCCATTATTGTTGACTGTTCACTCTGTTCCTTGGAATGTCCCCTGTCATTCTCTACAGCAAATGGTCTCCTTCTCCCCTGGGCTATGAAAATAGGTGACTACTACACAGATGCCAACATCATCTGTTCAGTCAGTGTTGGCTATTGGGTTTCCAAACATCTTCATAACCTTATGATGGGAGTGTGTCCATCACCAACAGGATGAAAAGAAAGTATCTGAAAACAAGTATCAGTCTCATTGCATTTTTATAGTGGTATATTCTAAAACATATAGTAAGCCCTTAGCTAAGAACTTGGCAAAAATATCACTGTATAATTCACAGCCATTATTGTTATTTTAGCCAATGCATCATTATTAGTATTACAATTACCACCCCATATATTTGGCATGAGTTGAAATCACATCCATTTTCTCATGACCTGTAGTGTTCTGAAGGAGAGAATAGACAGAATTCTTATAAAAACCTCATGCTGAGTACATAAAATGCAGTTTGGACTTCACTGGCATAAAGAAAACTAGTCAGGGATTTTCTGTATATCCTAGTTTCAAGGAACTTCTCTCATTTATCATACATAAGTAGACTTCAGACCTGTACAAACAACTAATAATTCTGATTTGCACAAAGATGAAGATGCTCCCCTAGGGAGCTAATAGAACCCTCCTAGAGAGTATGACAAAATGTAAAGTTCTAATGTAAATGGAAAGAATAATGGAAGTACTTTGGATTGGTGGAATTTTCCATTAATGAGTATCTGAACTATAACCAGCATTTTCTTGGAAGGGAAATCCAAGCTGGTTCTGAATCTGAGGTGCTGCTCAAGGATCGAATTGAAGAAAATGAATTTCAGAGGCGAAGCATTGATTTAACCCAAAAGGACATGGCAGACATCAGAATAAGATGTGCTACTAGGATGTTTGGAAAACATTTTCTTAAGTGCCTGATGCAAAAGAATTGTTCATTGTTGTAGAATACAAGGCAGAGCTCTCCAGAGTAGAAAATGAATAAGGAAAGTTCCAGCTTCTGCTTGTAATTGTGTGCTAGTTGCTACATCTTTTTATGTTCTGTTCCATTTGTGCAAGATCACTATACAGAATATTCCATCAAGCTTGCTGTGCTGTGGATCTGCTTTTCTTTTAGAGTACGCTGATTTGGCTTGCTCTTTATTTTATACAAACCCCCACTTATGTGTTTTTCTCTCTCAGCCCACATTTGATCTAAGC